GGGGAAGCAGAGATCCTCTTCCATTACAGAAGCCAACTTCACATATATCCTAAATGTTGTCTTTGATGTTGTCATATGTGTATACATGTACATACAAATAGAAATCTTTTAAGAAACACACACATAATATTTACAAACTTTTAAAATAACCACATACCCAAATAATCTACTATTTAGCTTAGTCACTGATAGGTGAGAGGGACACATTCACTTTATTGAACTAACACTTGGGCATGAAATAAGCTATGGCTAAAGAAACAGTTAACAGATTTCAGTTGCATGGGCTAAAAATAATGAATGATGTTGCTCTCAACATTTTCTCCTAGACAGAAAACTTATTTTAGATTGCTGTATTGTTCCTCCTATGCAGTTAAGGAGTCATGGCAAAGTCACTCTCTTCTAATCTCAAAAAAGTGCTGTGTATTCTTTCCATATGGAGTATCCAGTGTTTTAAAGGAAAGCAAAAAATATCATGCAGTCAAGTCAGCAGGCAGTGGAAAGGTACCTTATCCAATTTCTACACACTTAGACAATCACTGAATTCACATCTTCAGTGGAAACAAAGAACCATTTCTAATTTGATATGTCCTCTATTGGGACAATACCCTTGCTAGAGGACACTTAATTAGATATTTACTTGGTTACTAAAATCCATTCTTTATGTGGATAAGTTTATAACCTGCCCAATGCAGAAGTAGCAACTGAGATTTTAATGACATTGCAATATTAAAAAATTTAGAATAATAGGTCTAGTAAATATTCAAGTATTATTACTTAACCATTAGCCTGAAAGCAACATTTCAAGAAGTGAGACACTACTGTAAGGTCTAAATGTAAGGTCTCATCTTAAATGAAAAAAATTAAGCTGTATTTCATAGAATCATAGAATAGTTTGAGTTGGAAGGGACATTTTTTTAAAGGTCATCTATTCCAACCCTCCTGCAATGAGCAGGGACATCTTCAACTTGAGCAGGTTGCTCAGAGCCCCGTCCAACCTGACCTTGAATGTTTCCAGGGATGGGGCATCTACCACCTCTCTGGGCAACCTGTGCCAGTGTTTCACCCCCAACACTGTGAAAAATTTCTTCCTTATTCCTTTTATCTAGTCTATCTTTGTATCTATGAAGCTTCCCTTCATGACCTTCACCTAACTCACTGAACCAAACCAATCCTTTGGACGTTAGAAACCTGACAGGAAGGCAGTAGTCACAAAGACTTAAACTGTGATAATGGAAGTATGAATTCGAAAGATACAAAGTACCTGAAGGCTAGCTAAAAGGCAAAAATCTATTTCATGCAAGGAAATCATAGTTTGAAATTACAAGTCTTTGTATATACACGTACATATAAAATACTTAACAAACCACAAACCAGGCTGATACATACAATTTTACATGTTGTAAAATTACAAAAACAAATGGTTCAAAGTGTTAAAAATACAGTTTAATTCATGAACATGAACTGTTAAGATAAACTGTCCCAATTTAAGGCAAAAAAAGTGAAAGGCAAAAATACAATAAAAAGATAGTAATTAGAATTAATATATTAGATTCTTAATCTAGCATTTTAAAATAGTTATTTTCAGATTTCACTGCTACTTAATGACAATATATATGCAATAATAAATACTTGATTTTCACACTTTTAAAAATACTCATTCAGCTGAAATTCTGCTTTCTTTTTGCATTTTCCCTGTGTCAAACTCTACACCTTTGCATTTGAACCTGATCTCCCTGATTTCTATTGCAGTAACCAGGAAAATTATGCTTGAAAATTAATAGTTTCTCCATAGTTTTTTCTACATTACTCTCTTCGAGTCAAGTTCCATCCTCAGAGCTACAGTATTTTGCACAGCAAAATACTGGATAGTATTTTGTGACTCTGCAGTAGTGGTTCTAGGTCATTCTGTAAAATATGGTGTCCTCTTGTGGTCTTGGAGGTTCCCACAATCTGAGACATTTAACACCAAATTTAGCGCTGGTATCAAGGGAGGTATCAATTAGAGCAAAACCCTCTTTCAATGCCACTAACATTTAGAATAAGCACATCACATTCATCAGCCTCTCAGTACCAAACATAGTATATTGAAGATACGCAATGAATAACATAACTCAGGTACAGACCTGAAGGATATGAAAGCACACAACACCATTTTCCAAAAGCTGTAATATAGTCATTTTTAGCCATTTACAGATGGAGAACTGTGTTTTACCAATATGTTATTTGGGCATCTAATGCCACTGAGGATTTGCAAAGGATATGAAAATGCAAATTGACATAAACGGAAGAGATACTTTGGTAGCAGAACTTAGTTACTGAAACTGCTCTTTAGGCACTGATTTAAGATTGTGTCGATTAGAGATGGTAAAACAGTTGTAATTCTATTAAAAACAATACGACTGATATCAGAGAGAAAAAAATTCTATTGAAATCTAACAGCATAGCTAAAAGGGAACATGCTTTGATAGCCACTAAAGTTGAAAAAGCAGTATTGAAAAAAGTAGCATTGACAATATCTCTTCTAATGCTTATTACAACACATTTGCATGTGTAACATGCTGCACAAATACCTCGTCCTAAAGTGAAAGTTCTACAGAATTCCAAGACAGACATTCCCACATGAATTCATTAATTTTACACTTAAATTCATTAATTTTACACTTTTACACTTACACTACATTAATTTTTAAACCCTCCAATTACTTCAACTTGCTTTGTCATGAAAAGGAGGGCCATCTCAAGGCCATTAACCCATCTCAGTCAGTCACACAGTGCAATGTGTTCCAAGGGGCTACTACTTCTGCTGATCTATAGGGTAATTGTTCCTGAAGCATGACCCACCATACTGCACAAAATCATGCACTATGACATGGTACAGAAAATAGCACCACTAAAAGGACAAAAATTTGCCTACACAATGTGCTGTGGAAATAAGCTCTTGTGTGAAAAACTGAGGTAAGCTCTTGCAAAGCTGATGTGAAAGCGTCACTTTGCGACTTACAATCTATCTACAGCAGGTAGGCAGAAGTATAATCACTACTCAATTCCAATTATACAACTGGCCTATTTTTCATCATAAAAGTCTTTCAGGAGTGCAATAGATGGCATCTATTTCTCACTGTAAAGAAAAGATACTTTTTCCGAGATGTGATATGATAGAAAGTGATTGTGGGTTTATGTATGATTAAGGTAGAATTTTGTCCCAAAGCTAAAACACTGAAAGAATAAGCAATGCAAATTTTTTAAGGAGTCACTCAACTGATAATTTTGTATGCATCAATTGTGCAACTGAAGTTGCAATTCAATTAGTATTTAAAGTAATTAAGGATGAAAGACTATCAAAAAAAGCTTAAAAGAAGGCTTTTGTAATTTATTGAAGTGGCTTATACCCCATCACTTAAAAAAGGAGAATTAGTTATGTAACAAAGAAAACACATTGTACCTATTACAAAACTATCCACTAAAAATGAAATGAAAAAATGCATGGTCTCTAAGATATGAAAAAAAAGCAGAAAAGCTATCGTAAGTACTTTCATTTACTAGGTTTGTAGGCAATGAACAACTACATTAACTCTGGACTTTATGCCAAGCAAACAGACCTACAGATTTTATTGATAAATTCCATATATATTTGTATCACCACCATTTATTCCAGACTATGTGCGTTACTACTGATTTCATATCAAATGTGCCAAGCTTACCTACTCATTTTTAAGGAACACTTGGGAAATCATTTGAAGTTAGATCAGAGTTACTATCTTTAAACATTCACAATCCACACTCACTGACATCCAAATGTGGTTAAGGAATTTATAAATATTATAAAATTAAAAAAAAAAAAGATTACTTCATGCCAACTACCAATTATGATTTTTCATAGACAAAATAGACATCATAGACAAAGTTGCAACAGATATAATTAGCATGATTCTGGTATTGTAGTGACACATGTATTAATGTGGTATTAGGCCAAATAAAATCTCAGGAAGATCTAGAAGTATTTCAGTCATTATGTCAGCTTTCTATTGAAGACTACACTGATCTCTGTGGTTGGTACTTTTTAGATATTTGATACAAGAACTCAGTGATACTAAGGCAAAAAAAAAAAAAAAACAAAACACAAAGGAGAAAATCCCCATATAAAAGCTAACAAGATTGATTAACATTAGGAATGCTCATTTAAGCACCCAGTGCTTAGATGTTTTTAGTCACAAGTATGATTTAATTCTCAAATATTTTACTTGTGATAGTTAAATAAATTTTTCAGGTCATTCTTACACTGTAAAGAAAAATTACTTTGATTACTTCTCAATCCTTACTGGATTTGTGATGTATATTGCAATATGAATTTAAACTCTTGAACATTTTAAAGTTTGGTGATTAAGGATTAAACTACATGATACTACATATTTGTTACACACACACTACATTACTTACTGTATTTTTTTAAAAATCCCTATATGATAGTAAAACACAGAAATACCCATTTTAAAATGGGAGCGCTAAGACACAAAGACACAGATTATGGGAATTAAGCACCTAAACGCCTCCAAAAAGCTGGTTCAAAATTTACAACAATTGGTGAACAGCACAGAAAATTTAAGGAATTTAGACTGATACTTTTTTAAATTTACAGAACTACTTAATGAATTACTGGCCAGTGTTAATTGCTGGCATTTATTGAAAAGAATGGAGTAGAGATTACATTTTATGTATACAGCTGTCCAGTACAGTTTTTGGGGTTCTGTGCATTTGTCTACTGTTTATGTCATAAATATTTCATTTAATAAAAAGTTTTATTTTCAGTGAGTGGGAAAATCAATGCATTAACTACATTATCAGCAAATCTGCAGCTGATGAGGGCAAAGTCTGTATAAAAATAGCAGGTACTGTCTAGCAGGTGTAAAAAATATTTATGATAGTTGCCTCTTTTTTTGTGTGTATGGATAGAAAAAGTTTTCTCCTCAACTCTTACTGATATTATGAGTTCTTTTAAGTACCTTGTTTCCAATGGCCTTTTTTGGTGGAAAGTTAAAAGTTCTCACTTGCTGGTATTTATTTTGTAATTTATGATGCAAGCTTCTGAATTCTGCATATCTTCGATAAACATTCCATTCATCATCCTTTATTCTAATATAAACCTGCAAAATACAGACATGGAAGGAAATAATTTAAAGACAAACCATTGAACTAATATATCTCCTTTACTCTTTAAAGCTTCATGGCTTAACACTTTCACATTTGTGATGCAATGGTACCAGAAGTTCCAGGATCACTTATCCATAGATACATCTGTCAGATGTACATCTGTACATCTGACATTTCTGTTGTACATTAATCTTACTCTCCTTCTTCCCTCTCCTTCTCTTTTTCCCTCTTTTCATTATATTAATCAAGACAAACATAGCTTGTTCATTTTACCATGACTCTGGGGCAACCATGGTAGCACAATATACCATATGGTTTCCAGCATATTCTGCTAGCCAGTAACCAAAGGAAAAAAATAATTTAATACCAGTATAAAATTGATTTCTATGTACTTAACTCAGTTTTTCACCTTGGTAAATTAGCTTAGTACCATCAGAATTGCAAAACATAATTTATCCAAAGTATGAAACTTAATTTACTTTGTAAAAAAAAATTACACTGAAAACTAAACTAGAAATTTTATTGTTTGGAAAATAAACACAGTTCATTCTTTCTGCTTGTATAGAACACTAAGTATAATTTAACACAGCTGTAGTTTTTGTGATTCTGATTTTGTTTGCTACTCAATTATTTCATGAGCATATTACCAATTACATGCTAAATATTCATGTTCTCAAGGAAAATTTCATGCAGAAGTGAAATATACTTACAGAAAGCTGAGATTTCATTCATTACTAGGGAATAATCTTTCCTCTATGGAAATGAACCCACAGTTTAAAAGAATACTGAAATAGCACAAGTCAGAAACTATAAACCAAGCATCAAAACTCAAATCCAGAGTGGCCTTTTCCTTAGCTGCTCCTTGTAGAGTCTGTAGCTCATTCATTGTCGTGTGTGTGTAATAATCTCAGTATTTTGCATTAGAAATTAAGCTGGAATAGTACAGCTGACACTGCACCGCCTTGCTTCTTCAACAAAAAACAGTACTAAGTTTTAAGGCAAGTATCAGGAGACTGATTATATAAAAAAGCAACACCAACAATCATCACATGAAGAGTGGTCAGTAACAACTGTGTTTTTGTGAATACTAGGAAAAAATGAAATTTGAATTTTGATGTGGCTGATTCCAACACTGAATTGTAGCTTTTCCTGATGACTGAATCGTTAACATGGCCCTTCTCCTCTACATTTGCCAAGTCCTTAGAAAAAACCAAAATTCTATTAAGGACTCATGGTATTTCAGAGATCCAGTGATGTCAAGTGAATATCTTCTCCCACAAAAGCAGCTTATGCAGCCTTCCTTTGGTTTGGTCTTCAAGAATTCCTCTTATCTATGTATATACATAGATATCTGTATCTATATATCTTACCTATATATCATAACTACAGATATCTAGTTTCTCAAATTTACAGGAGGCTTCTGTCTTGCAATAAAATACAATATACCATGCAGATACCATGCAACTTCTGCCAAATTATAATACTTCACTGTAGAAAATACTCATATATTCATAATATTGGATTCTATTGAATAACAAGTATATTTTTTGGTTACTATTGTACTTCATAATGATGACAAAAAATGAATACTAGAATTACAAAATTAGAATATCTAAGAATACAAGAGATTCAGAGTATTGCGTGAAGTACAAATGCATATGTAAAGAAAATTTCAACTAGTTTTGTTAAAAAGAATTCAGATAGCATACTGATGGAATCACTGTAAGAAGTCTGCAAGAAGTATTCAGATTTTTTTTTCATTTTGAAAATAAAGCCAGGATGAAGATAATTAAACACCTACAGGATCATCTGTTTTAACAATTCAGTACACTTCTGAAGGAAAATTAAAGGAAATATAAAATGAAAGTATTTTGCATAATTTCAATAAATTTCATTTAATTCGGTAAAAAAAATATATTAAATACTCTTTATTCACCCAGCCCTAACCTCTCTCCCTGCCTATTCTTGATTCAGCAAGCATATTGTTTGAAATTTTGTATACATCCCCAAGATTCATGTTTCAGCTTCCCAGTGGAGGTGGGGGGTAAGGGTGGGGTAGAAGGACAACAAAAAAGCTTAAATTATTTATAAGCAAGTTATTTAATATGGAAATCCTAATTTAACTAAGCAGTTATCTTTGCACATGTGATTTAATGAATTATGCAGTTCAATATTACCTGTTAAACTATAACCCATAGTTAACTAATTAAGGAATCCAGTACACTGTAATTGAAATTTTTGAGGGCTGCAAAAAGATAGATTAAATCCTTAGATAAAACTGTTGAAGAGTTTCTTCCTGTTCTTCTATGTACATAGTTATTGATTTCTTTTAGACACTAAGAAATGAAAATGCAACATTTGGAGCCCTGTGCCATACTGAACTTATTGACAACCATATAATAGAGTATGAAAGGCATATTAAAGTTCATGATGTAGTACACACTTAAAGCTTTATTATCTCAACAGGGAATACTATTCACAAGCCAAGGTATTCAAGACACTTAATACAAATTCAGTTGCAAAATCAAAGTGAATCCTAAATATAAAACTGCTTGGATAAACTTATTCTAGTCTAGTCATACAAGGCATATAGTTATCCTCATTTCAATCAAATACAGATCATACAACTTAAGCACAGGAATAACAGGGAACAATTATCTTTGTAGACAAAATTTTGAAATAATACCAAATCAAGCAACTTGAGATGCATGGTTTAAAATTGCCTTAAAAGTCATTAGGATTATTCCCACCATCTTCACTGTTTCCATAATTTCATTTGTGGTCTTTTAATAGGAAAACAATGAAATTTGTACCTGCCAAATACGCTTCTGTGTGTTTGTCCCAAATCATCATGCTGTACCCCAGAGCAACAATACTCTCTACTACTGAAAATACCTTAATGTATTGTCGTGGTTTAGCCCCAGCCGGCAACTAAGCACCACACAGCCGCTCACTCACTCCCCCTCCCACAGTGGGACGGGGGAGAGAATTGGGAAAAAAAACCCTTGTGGGTTGAGATAAACACAGTTTAATAAGACAGAAAGAAAGAAGGAAACAACAATGATAATACCAACAAAGGAATGTACAAGAACAAGTGATGCCCAATACAGCAATTGCTCACCACCTGGCGATCGACAGCCCGTCCCTGAGCAGCAATTTCCGCCCCCCCACTAACTCCAGTTTATGTACTGGGCATGACGTCATATGGTAGGGAATATCCCTTTGGCCAGTCTGGGTCAGCTGTCCTGGCTGTGTCCCCTCCAAGTTCCCCGTGCACCCCCAGCCTCCTTGCTAGCAGGCCAGCACAAGAAGCTGGACTGTGCTTGACTGCTCAGCAACAACCCAGAACATCAGCACCTTATCAACAGTTTCTCATCCCAAATCCAAAACACAGTCTCACACTAGCTTCTGTGAAGAAAACCAGCTCTATCCTGGCTGAAACCAGGACATGTATGACATATAATTACAGAACAGTATTTCAAGATCATGTTATAGAAAGCTGAAAGGACTACTTTTAGGCTCATTCTCTGATCAATTTAAAAATCAATTCCAAACCACTACATTTCCTTCCAAATGCCCATGTTTTCCTGAAATCATCCACTTCCTAACCTAAGTAATTTTCAAGGTAATGAAAATTTATAGACTATATCAAAATCACCACTAGAATGCTCATTTGATGGTAGACAAAAGATTTTACTTTAATATCTCTTGTATATAAGAAGATTAATTAAGTAGCTTTTGCTTGTACTTTAGCAGCACTTTCCAATTGGGTCTCCTGTGTAAAGATTGATTGGTAACCTTTTTGTACCTATGATTTACAGCAGCTGAAAGAAAAATTTCACTTAATAAGTATATAATGAATTAGCTTGTTATTTTCTCATCACAAACATGTTTGAAGTCAAAAATTTGAAAAGAAATAGCAAAACCAGTAGTAATTTAATGTTTTGTTTTTCAGCCAACTACCTGCTAACTTAGTATTACTGAAATTCCAAAAAACTTCTGAGAAGCGATTTTGAAAGCACTAGTTTAACAATTGTATACTGAAATTAATAAACCCTACTCCCACGGTACTGTTTTATAAGCCAAAAGTTTCTTTAACAGGTTAAGGAATCTTTAAGCAGTTCTGAGTCAAAAATGCTGTTAACAAATCCTGGTAACAGACTAGTAACTATTGACACAGTTCATCACTACTTATGTAAAAAAGCCTGAGGAGGAGGAAGGACAAAGGCCAAAATTCCAACTTGCTCCAGTTCCAGTGTACCTACACAGATTAAATGCCTATAATCAACAATTGTTCTTCAGGTCTGCAGAAGTCTAAAGTGGGCACTCTTCTTTTTGGATGCAAAATATACATTGGTATATTTAGGATTCACTTTTTGTCTCTCTCAAGCACTGTAGGTTGAAAAAGATACTGAATGGGATATCAGAGAATTTCCTTCTGTTGCAACGACATTCGTAGTTATAGAAATACCAGATTAAGTATCAGGAAGGAACTTCCCCAAACCAAGTTACTTCTAAATCTTCCCTACAAATGTGGCTCACATTTTCTGGTAGGATTATCTGAATACATAATGAAAAATCAATTCTAGCCAGAGAACTCTTGTGGATGAGAGCTCCACAAATACAAACCTGCTGAAGTTAATGTCCCTGTGAGTCCATGTCCCATTCCAGAGGCAAGAAAAATGTCAGAAAGGGAGAGAATAATGCTAATAGAAGGTAAGCATTGTAACTCTACTAAACCACATATAAAATTCAATGGCACAAGATGCAAAAGAACTCAGAACATTTCAGCAGAATGCTTCAAAGGAGATAAAAAATACTGCAAAAGTTTGTAAAGAATCAGTCCTATGCTGGACAAGGTCATAGTTTTTCTAACAAGCATGAAAAAGAGATGATGGGCAGTATACAGAATGCAAAAGAGACTGATCTGCACTAAGGAAGCTACTGTGACATTTACTTCCTAACTAAGCATTATTGGGGGAGAGGGAGAAGG